TGCCGTTCCGAGCCTTCTCGAGGTTAAAAGTTAGGTGACTGAGCTGCCTGCCCGATTCCTGATGAGGCCTTTGTATTTGTTGCAGGAATAGAAACTACATGTCTTAAACTGTCCAGATGTCTTTCTCTAGGGTGTGAGTTTCATAATCCTCTCTATCTCCTTTGCCTCCATTATAAAGTCCCAGGGGAGTTAATTCCTCTAGGGAACTGGTTCTTAAGTGGGGGGTATTTAGTAAGTATGGGGGTATTTTGGGTTTTCAACACGGCTGGAGGTTGGGGGATTGCTACTGGTACCTAGTGCAGAGGCCAGGGCTGCTGCTAAACATCTTACAGTGGAAAGGACAGCATGTCTGCAACAAAGAATCACCTGGCCCCAAACGTTACCATGTCAGATTCTATTCTAGGGTGGTTACCGATGGATACCAGGACAGGTTGAGCCCTACCTGAAATAAAAGTACCTGGACCTGGCAAACCACTAAGCAGCATGTGGGATCTTAGTTCCCTGACTAGGGATGGAACCTGTGCCCCCTGCAGTGGAAGCCCGGAGTCCTAACCACTGGATGGCCAGGGAAGTCCCAGGAAAAGTCCTTTCCGCAAGTGGCTTATTTGTTCTTATGTGCCGTACAAGCCTTGTGGAGCCCATAACCACACCAGGTCTGCACCACCTAAGAGAAAACGTGGGCTCTACAGAGTGTTACAAATGTGCAAGTAAGTCCTGGGAACACAGGTGTATTAGATGTTGCCAGGTCCATGCCTTTCCGGTGCCCGACCCCTTCCCCCTTTTCCTCTGTGCAACCCTGCCTGGAATACTATAACTCCATCCTTGGGCACCAGGCACACTTTTAAACACATGGTAGATTTCTGAGCGTATGTGGTAATGGTCTCTGGCCTAGGACTGGCCTTTCCCTGGTGTCCCATCTTCTAAAACACAAGAGCTGGTCTAGGAGCCCATGAACAGCAGCCTGGTCACCTTTAAAAGTGTCACTGGAAAGAACCATAATTAATAAATGTTCTCGGTATTATTGTAACTGAGCAGGACCCTATGGGGCCTTCCCGAGACAGACTCCCACCCCCCATGTCGTCCACCTGCCTCTTGTCTACAGAAAAACTTCCGTCGAACAATAAATTTAATCAGAGAAGCGAGAAAATGCAGAAGCAAAGGAAAACAGTCAAAGAGGACAAAATAATAATACTTTAGTCATTACACAAAGTCAAAGACCCTTAGTTCCTCCTCAAGGGCTGTAGATCATATTCTGAGCCACGTGCTGTGAGCTGTTTTGTAGAGACTAAAACCCCCGCCAGGTGGGAGAAGTTAGCTACATGATGACCAGACTGTAGCCACGACATAGGCTGCCACAGCTCTGAGAACTGGCGTCAAGGAAATGGGAACAAACTGATCCTGGAGCTGAAGAGACTAACTGTGCGTAAAGCCATCAAGATGACGCCGGTCAGACCACCAAGGACCAATTTCAAGTTGACGGTCAGAGCCGACCGTACCGCTTCCGCATGGGGCCCCCTGCCTCCCCCTGAGCACCCCCGAAACTCCCCTTTAAAAGCTCTTGCCCACTGATCAGCAGGGGGGAGTTGGCTTTTGGACATGAGTCTGCCTTCTCCCCACGTTGCCGGTCTCCAGAGTGAAGCCAACTTTCCTTGCCCGCCAACACTTGTCTCTCGAGTACGGGCTTTGGAGCAGCAGCAAGCGGCCGGACCTGAGTTTAGTAACATTTTGTGGAATGAGGTTCTCCAACGTTTTCAAAATACGAGATCCGGTTGGCTCACCAGGAAATGTGAGTTCACCTTATCAGAATTAGATGATCTCTCATGATGTCTCGCCTGCTATAAAGCATATGAGCATCTCTTCCAAAAAAGAGCCGACGCGGGCCCCAGATAGATCACCAGCCCATCCCCACACTCAGCAGGTCGGGAGAAGAGGGATTCAGTGAGTTCTGGGTTCCCCAAGCCCGGGAATTAGTGCAGGCTTCCGAGCCGCCAGGCAGGCGTTTGGCGATGGAGGTCGGTGGTGATAGTTTCCATTAGTGAACACTTAAGTCATGAATGGGATTCTTATTTATGGAACATTAGAGATAACTGCAGTTTTCTTTAGGATTCAGGAGTGGGTTGTGTCTACTCTTAGGCAATTCAGGTGCCCTCGGGCAGAGGTTTTGCAAATGCATTCACATAATCACCTTCCAGCAACTAGATCCTGTGTACTTAGGGCCCTTCCAATCGTGGCTTTCTATATACTTCTTATCTTCAGGCGAGGGGTGCATATGTCATTCGTGTATTATGCCACTTCTGCCCAAGGGTGCAAGTATTGGATTATACAAACAGACATCAGTCCCCAAAGGCAGGGCTGACACCCTGGAATTAGATTCTGTTCCTGGGCCACTCAGGAAAACCATGTACTAGACCTGAGACGATGGAGCTTCTAAGGAAAGGGGACCACTTCCACACCATCAGTACCATTAGCTGTCTGACCCACAGGGGAAGGAACCACCTGTGCTCTCTAGTTGTCCTACAAATTCCGCCTGTTCCATCTTTAGTTGGAGTCTGACTGCAGGCCGTTATTTCCTCATCGACAACAATACAGACTTGCCTCCTGGTGGGCTGTCAAAGTCCTACTCGATGCATCTTCTGTCCCCACGCTGTCCCAGTTACCCTGACTTCTGGGAACAACGTGTATGTCAGGTCAGTGCTTCATGTCTGCAAAGCGCAGAGTGAAAACGAGCTGAGTGTGCCACCTGGGTGCACAGCCTCTCGTGTCTGACAATACCAGGAGTATCAGAGAACATCTTTGTGAGCCCACACCACGTAGAGATGCAAGGGTGGGTGAGATGCACAGACACAGAGTCAGGGAACGAACTGAAGGCAAGACTCAGAGGCACAACCGTAACCCGGGGCGCTGGTTTCACCGAGTCTTCCGCAGACACTCACCAGGGCCCCAGGTCTCTTAAATGTCATTGTTGGTGGCAACCATGTAAATATAATGCACGACATTATATTTTACATGATTGCCACCAACTACGGCATGTAAACCGCCTCTCAGAGATGCAGGCCATGGCGACGACCATCCTTTCTTCCACCAATTTGCACGTTTTATCAGAGAGTAATTCATTACTTCTGGTTTGACCTGAGTCAACTGGTGATAACTCAGAAGGGTTTTTCCTCTTACGGTCACTATTACCTAATTTTAGAGACAGTCTTTTCCCCATAGGCACCTGCTTAAATTAGTAAATCAAACAATGCTGCGTTACCTCTGGTTTTATTTTGCTTTTAAGATTCCTCCATTCTGCAAATGCTTTACATATGGGTAAGAAAATGCATTAGCTAATTTCCTTCCTACCCAGAGATGCGTTTCCAAGGGATTTTCCATTTCGATATCTGAACCTTCCTCTTCAAATCATATTTTCTTTTCTAATGTTTTTCATTTTCATAGAAATGGACATGTCTTGCACCTTCATTGCATTATCGCCCAGGATGGTGTCCCCATCTTACACACAGCTCATAGGTCGGATACGTCTTCCCATGGAACCGTAATCATTAGGTAACTTGACTGTCAAAAGAAGTTCACTTTCATTCCTTAATGTTGCCAACCTGAGTTTTAAGTTAGTTTTCCCTCAATGTATTAACTTGGAACAAGAAATGATCAATATGTCCAATGCTTGCATCTCAGTATGGTTCCATCACTCCTTCCTTTTCCTGCCCCTACCAGCAAAGAAAAAATCCCAGCAACTTTGTAAGGAAGATGTTTTCTATGTGGCGACAAAACGGCAGCAGCATCTATGATAAACAGATGTGGGTCTACGACCAGGCGTCCGTATGGCTCTGCTTCCTTACCCACCGTACACGTCTCTCTTTCAAGTTAATGGGACTCTTTCTCTTTCACTCCCATCACATGGAACCGGACATGCCTGGTTCACTGTCCTCTGGGGATGTCCAGATTCTTTCTCTAGAAATCTCATCCCTCCTTTAAGGTCTCAACCAGATCCAACCACCTCCATGAATACGCACTGCCCTGCCCCCTCCTTTTCTAAAACCCTGTAACATTTATGGCACAGGCGATGAGTTGAGTCAACTCAAGGCCGTTCCCCTTTTCACTGCCTTCTTCAATAACTATTTATGAATCATCTACTATGTGCCCAACAAAACACTTGGCCCCTGGGACATGACAGTAGAAGAGACGTGCTCAGGGCCTCGGTCTTGGAGTTTTAAGAAACTTGATGCAGAAACAGACATTCAGCAGAGAAACATACAAGGCATTTTTTTACTAATAGGGTGATTCCCACGTCGAGAATAGTGCATCTGTACAAGACACACTGTAAGAAGCTGCATGGCTTCTCTGAGTGAAATTCCCAACAGGTGCTCGAAAGAAAGAAAAGAGAAAGAAAGAAGGGAAGAACTAACGAAAGAAACAAAAGGAAAGAAAAGAATAAGACACGGTCTGGGTGAATACTTCCTGTTACTGTGGACAGACTCTGATTCCTTTTGTCTGAAACAGCACCCACCTTCCTGGAGAGTCCTGCTGTCAGGAGACCTAGCTCTGATTTTAAATATTTCAAACATTCTTTGCCACTTCGAGCGCCTGCACCTTATAGCCTTCCAAGCAGGACAGGAGTGTGAAGGCTTCTGGACACCAGGTTAGAGCACCCAATCCACTAAACGCTGGGCATCCCTCACCTGCCCACCTGTGCACCTTTACTGCTGCTTTCTTCTGGAGCATGCATTCACTCACATCCATCTTATTGCTGGGACTCGTTCCTAAGCATCTTAGAAAACATTCTACCACCACCTCCTACATCTCGTTAAGTCAACAGAAACCTGTTATATTCCTTTTAAAACCCATGTTTTTCTCAACTTCCTCCTCTGTCCTGTGATGGGGGGCACGTCCAACAGACTCTCTATTTCCATCCCATCCCATCTCTCTCTCTCTCACGGATTCGCACTGGAAGATGACAACAATGGTCCATCACCATGTCACTGGTTAATTTTTGTACAGCTTACCTGGTTTATATGACTTCCTCTCAGTAGACAGAGCTCAGAAATGATGTGGTGGCCGCTCCAGTACCCATGCATGAATCCACCAACATGTCGTCAGAATCTTGAATAGCCTAAAACGAAATGCAACGTGAATTATGACAAGAGAACGTACAACTCCTTGCTCTGGCCTCAAATGAACATGTGGCCTTTCGACCTTGGGCTGGTGTCTAGATATAAACTGAAGCACCTCCGAGCCTCATACTGGTAGCTGTGAGCATTGGCACAGATCACCTAGCAAAATGTATTGCGGGGCAAACTATTTAGGTAGAGAGCTGGGGGAGAAACAAAGTATGTCTCGTGGTTGCAGAGAATGTCCCCATTTCGTGATCTGTTATTGTCATATTCGGTTTCGCTTTTTGTGCTGTGAATATTTTTATTTTCTAAGATGCTGTGGAACTAGCGCTGAATCCAATCCAAATGATGCAACCGAAGGGGAGCAGAACGTGCCACCCCAAGATGTGAGTGTAGGGGTCCAGGATGTGCTGCCCGCAAATGTACCAGCAGGGGTTCAGGACGTGCCATCCCAAAATACGCCACTTTGGTATATTGATGATTTTGAGCTATAAGCACTTGGAAAGTAGCAAATGCAGGGAGAGGCTTTCTCTAAAGCCCCCTTTATCTCCTAAAGACAGCTCCTCCCAAAGGAAGCCAGGTGTCCTCAGTGCCCTGATGGGAGCGTCATCAACCTGGCAGGCTTGACTCCCATCACAGGACAGGAGTCTAGAGACATAGTTATGTACGTCTGCAGCATAGAGAGGAGAGATGCAGACACTGAGGTGTGGTCCACACCACACCCAGACACACTTCATCACACACAGTCCCCCCTCCCATCCATCCTTCTAAGGCCCCATCATCTCTCCTAAAACCCATTTACTCTCCCCAAAGAGGCTCATGTCACACCTCGCCTTCCCCAAAAGCTGCCTAGGGGAGCTGCCCATTTGCCCCTGCGTATCCCCCATGTGGACATGAGCCAGGCAGGAAACGAACTTCTGTGTGTTTCTCTCATTAAGCTGTCTTTTATTACAGGGGTCTCAGAAAAGAACTCAGAAGGGTGGAGGGAAAATTATTTGTCCTCTGCTACACAATCCTTCATGTAACTGTAGGTGATTATTTTTCCCTGAAACTCTTTTACACAATTTTCTCATGTTTATAGCATAATAACCTGAGAGTAAGACTTGGAACATCATTATTTCTTATTTGCCGAGAACGGAACAGTATGGTCATTAATGACTTTCTTCTCACGACTAATTTTCTTTGATACTTGAACTTATTATATACTTACTGGTCAGTTGTTTGCTTTCATTTTAATCATTGGACTCAAGCAGATTTTCTGTAGTTATTGCTGAAAGCTTGGGAAAAGTTACATTTATAAATCTTGAAGCAGACTAATGTTTTTTACACTTTGGCCACTATGGTTTTGTTCCTAAAGCTTGTGCTTATGAGAGAAAAAGAAACAAACAAAACTAGTTTATATGTAGCCTCAAATTTTTACTTATCCTACTTCATAGGAAAAGAATTAAACCTTCATTCCACAAATACTCAGTGAGCACCAACTCTGTGCCCTGGGGAGAGGGCAGGACAGATAAAGTTGCTCTTAGGAAGCAGCTAAGCAACAAACAAACCAATAGGTACATGAACAAAATAATTTACATTACATGTGTTTAGTGTGAGAGGGAGTGTAAAACATAGAAATGGAATGAGCCACACGGGTGAGGAGACTAAGAATGATGCTAAGTTGGCAGATAGAGAAACACTTCTGGACAAGTGGTCAGGGAAGGTTTCCCTGGAGAGAGGACACCTAAACTGTCTTCATGAGGAGAGGCACCAGGTGGAAGCAGAGCCTGGGGAAGGCGGTCCTGTTTGTCAACAGAAAAGAAGAAAGGATGGTAAAGTCGGAGGCTACTGAGCAAGGGAGGTAGAAAGGCAGCCGGCTCAAGAGGTGGGCAGGGTAGGGGGGGCCACTCGGAGCCCTGGGGTCTTGAGAACGAGTTTGCCTTGTGTACGGGGTGGAATGAGAGGCTACTGGAGGGTTCGCCCAAATCACTCAGTCTGCAGCGTGAGCACACTGTGGCAGGGAAAGCACAGCCGGAAGCGAGACACAGATGAGCCCAGCAAGGCTGAGCGATAAAGGATGTAGCTTTATATCCATGTCACCCTACCTGCTCTTCTCGTCTGCATCGCTGCTGTGAAGGACTACCCCCTGGAGAAAAGGCCGCTTGCTGCTTAGAGGCCCACTTGGACTGTGGCCAGGCTGGACAGGAGAGATTGTTCGGAGTAATATCAGATGAATTAATAGAGAATGATGGACTTGGGAAGCCTTAAACCCCAGACACATCAGTACTGGTTAGAAAGAAAGCGAAATTGGCCGGACCTTAAAAATACTGTTGGATACCATGTGACCCCAGCGTGTATGTAGCTTCTCTCCTTCCCCTGACCTACTTGTATCTACTGCACTCGCTGTTAGCATCCCTACCGTCCACTGCCTCACCAGGAACTTGGGGGCTTGACCAGCATCGAAAGAAAAAGGTATGAAATATGAGGTTATGAGTCCCAGCAGGGAAGAACCTAGCTGCTAGAGGTTCTACAGAAGCTGTGGCTTAAAGGGCATATTTATATTCATATAGGATTCACATCATTGTATTTCTCCCTGTTCTTCAGCTGGAGTCCTTTGTTAAGAACGGTGAAGGATCTCAGATGTGAGTGTGGTTCCATTCCAACAAGCCAGCCTACCAGAGCTTCACAGATGATGGCAGAAGACAAGAGACTCCTGGTTCAGAGGCGAAAGATTGTCTGTTCTCACAGTGACAGCAGGAAGCAGAGTAGCAGCGTCCGTGCTGCTCCCCACAGGAAACATGAAGAGGGCTGGGTGATGCCTGCACACACAGTGGATTGTGTGACGGGAGAGGGACCCTGTGCTTAAGGAACGTGACAATAGGCCGTAGGGAACGTGATAATAGGCCAGAACACTGATAATAGGCCGTACACCTGTCTGATTGTAACAATAGAGGAAGACACTGTCTTTATTAAATGGGGAGTGTAATAAGCAATAAATAAAGCAAACCTGACATTTGCTTTAGAGGAAGACCCTGTCTATCTTCCAAAGCTGTTAGCTATACAAATATCTGAGCAGGACCCTGTGGGGCTCCTGGGCATAAAAGCCTTTTCCCGTCCCCCATTTCTTATTTGAAGGATAAAGGTTTCAGCCTCCTAGATCTCCCTGAGATCCAAAGGGCAGATTCAAACAGTTACTAATCAGGGGAGGGAGGGGATGCAGAAACAAGAGAGGAGCAGTCAAGACACAACAGCACAGCCTTGGGACAGATCCTGGTTCCTCCTCAAGGAATATACATAACAATATCTTTGAGTTCTTCTGCAAGAACTAAAGCTCCCACCCAGGTGGAGGATGGCAACTTTAGGTTGAGAACAAGATTCCTGGAACAATGCCCTGTTACCTCACCACCAACCAATCAGAAGAAGGTCACATGCCCTGCAGCCCTCACCCCAAATTTTGCAGATAAAAACTTTTCCCCCAAAACCATCGCGGAGTTGGGGGTTTTGAGCACGAGCTACCCGTTCTCCTTGCTCGGCCCTGCAATAAACGTTCCTCTGCTCCAAACTGCAACATTTCAGTTTGTTTGGCCTCACTGTGCATGTGGCACACAAACTTGTGTTTGGTAACACATCCTTGAAAAGATAGCTCAGAATAAAGGCCGTCACTACCTCTGCTTGCAGTTGATGCAGAAATGCAAGAGATCCCAGATGAATTGTCTCCCCACACCTTATTAATGTGACTTCTTGAATAAGAAAATTATGTAAAGGTATAATAGAGCCTAGAATACATCAAAAACTGAGACATAATGACTCTTCAGTCCCCATGAAAAATGGGGTGAGAAACTCCCCATGGGTCGGTCTCCTTCCTCAACATTAGAGCTTTACTATCCGCAACAGCAGGTTTCACTGCTGCTTTAGAGCTTTCCAGTACAGTCCTAAAAGAAAATTGATGTTCAGACATCTTAGGGGCTGTCAACAGTGAGTCATCTTGACCATCTGAATTATGAAGTTAATTGCTACTATAACCTCTCTGAAAAGAAGTGAAGCTCAGTGATTCAACATCATTAGCAATCCCAAGTCAATGTCTTATTCATTGTGTGAGTGCCAGCTTTGTAGACCATAAGAAGCCCTGAATGGAAGGCTATTATTGTCTATCAACTGTGACACTTTTTATATCATTAGGGATGCCTAAGGGATGGAAATTGACGGTAGTTTGCTTTAATTAGGTTCAGAGAGCGTGTGTGTGCGCATGCACGTATGTGTGTTGATGAGCAGTAATTTTCAGCGAGTCCCTTTGTTATGACTGATATTTTGGACTAAAGTTATTACTTGAGAGCGATCAAGTTATGGATGGAAAAGAACGAATAAAAAGAAAGATCCAAAGTTTCCTGGACAAAATGGTAAAACACACTAAAGTGCTTCCTCCACCAAATTGTTTTTCATTTTTCTACGCAGTTAGTTTCCACCAATCTATTAGCTCAACTCTCCTACTTTGGGCATACAGAATTGAGTAAAGAATTCACTTTAAAACATGTTATATTTTGTAGTTTACATCTGGCAGAATCACTGGAGCATCCAAGTCTTTCTAGATTCTGTACTGATATGTGTATGTTTGTAATCAAAGACCAAATAAGGCAGAGAGAGAGAGAGAGAGAGAGAGAGAGAAATTAAAGAGGACAGGAAGCCATATCACTCAATCGTTCCAAAGTTATTCACCTCATCTGGGCTTTCTGGAACAAAGCAGAGATCATATAAATGGGTGCGATGTGCCTAGTGTAAAGGACGTATTCCTCCAGATTGTGGCAAATGTTCACCGTGTAGCTCTGTCAGGTACATAGCAGATAGTATAATCTCTGGTGCTTTTGAGAGAAACAATTTGAACTCTGTTGGTTTAGGGAAATAATTTTCAACCTAAATGAGGAATTAACTATGGAGGAGGAAAAAAATTAAATTGTTGAAATGTTAAAAGAATTATGCTAAAAATAAAGGAAAAAGAACTTGATAAATTAAGAGACTGCAG